CCCCCGACATGCATGCCGACCCCGAGCACCGTTGGGACATCTCGACGATGACGGTGAAGGAGGCGTTGGCGAGCTGGAAGGGCCCGGCGGTAAAGGCCGCCATGGAGGAGGAGATTCGCAACCTCATCAACATGGGCATGTGGGAGCTGGTCAACTGCCCGCCGGGAGTGAACGTAATGAAGAACCGGTGGGTGCTAACGACGAAGTACCACATCAACGACATCTTCGAGCGAGAGAAGGCGAGGCTGGTCGTGAAGGGCTTTACGCAGGTGCACGGCGCCGACTACAATGAGACGTTCGCGTCGGTGGGCAGCTACGTCACGCTGAGAATCTTCCTCAGCATCGTCGCCATGCTCAACCTCAACCTGATGCAGCTCGACATGAAGAACGCCTTCCTGCAGAGAAAGCTCGGCCGGGTGCTCTACTTGTCCCAGCCCGACTACTTAAACAACGGAACCGGCCGGGTATGCAAGCTGCTGAAGAGCCTGTATGGGCTGAAGCAGTCGCTGTTGCTGTGGTACTTGGCACTCAACGATGTGCTGGTCGGCGCCGGGTGAAAGAAGAGCCAGGTCGACGAGGCTCTGTACTTCAAGGTCGGCGACGACGGGGTGGCTTGCTGGGTGCTGGTCTACGTTGACGACCTCCTCGCTACCAGCAACATCGCCGCGATGTTAAAAGAGCTGAAGGTGCTGCTGGAAGCCGCTTTCGAGCTGCGGGAGATCTCGCCGGTGCAGAAGTACCTCGGGCTGGAGATCGTTCGCGACAGGTCGGCAAGGAAACTGTGGCTGCACCAACAGGGCTACACCGACAAGCTGCGTAGGCGCTTCATCGACGAGGAGCAGACCGGGCGCACTCCAAAGATGCCGGTCTCGGTCGATGCCTACGCCGAGCTCACCTTGAATGACGAGTCCTAGTACATGGCACTCTTCCGTGCCGTACGGGAGATTGCGTGGCAGCTGCGTTTGTTGGCTGAATTAGGGGAGGAGCAGCAAGGACCTACCCCTCTTTATTGTGACAGCCAGGGAGCCATTGCTCTAGCTAAGAACCCTGTGTTGCACGGCCTCACCAAGCACATGAGGGTAAAGTGGCACTGGACAAGGAGCATGGTGGCCGCGGGTGAGGTTGAGTTGCGCTATGTGAAGACGAAAGGGCAGCCGGCTGACATGATGACTAAAAGGCTGTTGGAGCAGCAGCATTGGAAGTGCTGCAAGTTGGCTGGGATGGCTTTGAACTGAGAGAGCAACATCCTAAGGCCAACAACCCGAGGGGGAGTTTGTTGGTGCAACCCTATGGTTTGCACTCGGCTTGTTGTCCGTGTGCGTGTGCGTGCATGCGTGTGTCCATGGAGTGGTATGCGTGCATGAAATAAACATATATTTCATGCTCATAATATTGTGTGTATGATGGGTCATGATGTCGAGTGTGTGTGTGTCAAGTCTATAGCGAGTTATCGCTAGTCGCATGTAACGCGGTCATTTTCGCGCGGTTTCTATTTTGTCGTGCGCGGTTTCTATTTTGTCGCTTGTCGAACGTTCGGCGTGTCGCAGGTGTGTGCAGTAGACCCATCAAGAACTCGAGGATGAGTTTGTGATGAATAACCCGAGCCTTGGTTGCAAGCTTCAAGTGGTTTCGAAGCTAGCCAAAAGGGTACACCTCAAGATATTGAAGATAGTTACATTACTTTGTGTAGTGTAACATTTCAAATGGTATTGGCCCTTGTGAAGGGTAGTTTCGAGACCCTTCTTGGTTGGGGACAGTGTGGCACTCTTCCACATCACTGTACCTCGGCTCTTGGGGTTTGTAGGAGCTGGGAGTCATTCCCAACTCGTAACTCTTGCCAACTCTTCCTACTTGTTCGTAATTGTGTGTTCTAAGACTGTGTTGCTGCCATAGTGCCGTTCGTTCAAACCAACGCTTTGTCATCAATTCGTAATGAAATCGTGCGATCTAAATTGCCTATTGTAGGCGACATTAAGGCGCTCCAGATCCAAGTTGAATGAGGTCGTTTGGAGCTGTGACCAGATCGCTATGAACGTTTAAAGCCGCTGTGCAGAAATCTGACTGCGCACTTTATCTTTCGTTTTAGGCACATTGAAGCCTATTGTGATTATAACAGGTGGTATCAGCAGCTCCGACTATGGCTGGACCTGAAGAAAGGGGTGGCAGAGGTGCTGGTGGCAATGGAGATGCCCAAGCACAAGGCCAAGCCCGTGAGTCAGCCGTGGCGCCCGTACAACCGACTCTTGGACCTTCTAGGGACGAACCAAGAGTGTTCAGGCTTGACAAGTTCAACTGAGACAACTTTGCTGAATGGTCCTTCAGAATGGAGAACGTGTTTGACCACTATGACCTGCTGGAGGTGATGGAAGGAACGGAGAAGCGTCGCGAGAACGACCCGGAGAAGAGCCCGTAGGTGCGGAAGAGCGCACAAGGCTACCTCCTACTAGGGCAAGCGTTGGGAGCAGTCAAATCTGTCACATCAAGCCTTTCCAGCGTGAACCAGAGAAGGGATCAAAGGCATGGGCTGCTATCAAGGGTGTATACGCTCCTGCAACAGCGGCGGTAGCAGTGGTGTTGGAACGGCAAATGGCGACGCTACGAATTGAGGAAGATGAACCCGTGGAAGACGGGGTGCAGACATTCTTCGACTTGTTTACGCGGCTTGAGGGAGCTGATCTAAACTATAGTGAGCTCCAAAAAAAAACCAAGTTGCTGGCCTTACTCCCAGAATCGTGGTCCTCGCTCATCATCAACTTGAACCGTGATCTGCCCCGTCTCTCGCTTGAAGACGTGAAGCGCGCGATCCTTCAAGAGGACTTCCGCCGCCGTGAGTTGGCGAGTGCGGATGGCGCTGGGGCAGCGAGCATCGGCCGTGGATATGGCCGAGGAAGAGGCAGAGGACGAGGGGGAGGAAGCTCTGGTGGCGGCAACTTCAGTGGAGGCCGCGGGAATGGCGGATACGGCAGCGACGACAAGAGCTACGGTCGCGGTCGCGGACGATTTGACGGTGAATGTCACTATTGCGGCAAGACATATGTGGTGCGATTGCTTCAAACTTCCCCTATGGTTGGACCCCTGCTCAAGGCCAAGAGGGTAGAGGAGCAGGAGGAGGGAGAGGAAGAGGCCGTGGAGGCCTTGGCGGTCGCGGAGGTGGAGCCGCGAACATGAAGAGTGGAGATAATGACAAGGACCTGAGCGACGATCGGTACCCGGGTCTATTATACTTCGTGTCGACGCAAGTACCAGCTGGTCCTTAGAAGGATGAAGACCTTGAGGAGCCAGCAGCTGTGGGGAAGGTGACCCTACACCCCCTTGACTATTGAGTGATTGACACTGGCGCTACCTATAGCATGACACCTCGCCCCGACTTGCTCACCGAACTTGAGCCGTCACCGGTGAAGCATGTCACATCGGCTTTGGGGAAGCGAGCAGATGTGAAAGGCATGGGCAAGGCCATGTTCAAGGGTGCTGATGGGAAGATGGTGGGCCTCAAGAACGTGCTTTGGGTGCCCAGCCTTGCTGCAAACCTGATTTCCGTGCGGCGGTTGGCAAAGGCCGGCATGGACACGAACTCGAAGGGAGCCAAGACCTACACCGCGAGGCTTGGCGAGCGGATTCTATGGGACCTTCATGAAGATAGGGATGTCTACAACGAGATTTGGCTGATCCTAGTGGTCCCCATGCCTAAGGAGAGGCAAGTGGCAGCATGCGTCAGCACCAAGTGTGAAGCGGTTGGTAGCGGCGATAGTGCGGACGGTCGCGCTAAGGAGAAGGAGTCCAAGAAGTGCAATCTTGGAGGGACCAGCATGCTCGGTGAATCTAAGGAGAGTGGAGCAGCAGCCAAGGAGCAGCAAAAGGGTGAGGAGAACCCTGAGGAAGCAGCGGAGGAGGAGTACGGAGAGAGTATGTGGGGCGCTATTGCGAGCGCGGCATTCTCCAATCCGACTTCGGCCACGGGGGAGTGTGATTCGCTCACCTTGCCTCGGCGCATGGGGCATGTGGCCGTGCCTATTCTGCAACAGCTTGTGAAGAACCAGATGGTTGCTGGCATACGTGTGAAGGGGGAGCCCGATGAGTGTCAGAACATTATAGCTTACTTATTTGTGTAGGCTATAGTGGGGTATCCCATAGGGGGTACAACCCAATTAGGGTTTCCTATTTGTACTCACTTCGTTCATAGTCATTTCATTCTCGTTCTTTATTTTCACATGGAATCAGAGCAGGTTCCCTCCTAGGGACTGCTTCTAGGGCCCACCGAAGCGCGCCCCGAGGCGCGTTTTCCTCTTTTTTTTTAGCGACCCGTCGTGTCGCCCCTAGCGGCCCGTCGCGCCGCCCTTCCTTAGCGGCCCCGCCGCCCTTCGATCGCGGCTCCGCCGCCCTTCCTTAGCGGCCCCACCGCCCTTCGATCGCGGCCCCGCCGCCCTCTGCTACACGGCCCCGCCGCCCTCTGCTAAGCGGCCCTGCCGCCCTTCGATCGCGGCCCCGCCGCCCTCTGCATCGCGGCCCCGCCGCCCTCTGCTAAGCGGCCCCGCCGCCCTTCGATCGCGGCCCCGCCGCCCTCTGCTACGCGGCCCCGCCGCCCTCTGCTAAGCGGCCCCGCCGCCCTTCGATCGCGGCCCCGCCGCTCTCTGCTAAGCGGCCCCGCCGCCCTTCGATCGCGGCCCCGCCGCCCTCTGCTAAGCGGCCCCGCCGCCCTCTGCTAAGCGGCCCCGCCCCGCCCTTCGATCGCGGCCCCGCCGCCCTCTGCTAAGCGGCCCCGCCGCCCTCTACTAAGCGGCCCCGCCGCCTTGCTTACACGGCCCCGCCGCCCTCTATTACGCGGCCCCGCTGCCCTCTTCTACGCGGCCCCGCCGCCCTTCCTTCGCGGCCCCGTCGCCCTTCCTGCACGGCCGAGCCGCCCAGCCGCAGCCGAGCGGCCCAGCATCAGCCGAGCCGCCCAACCGCAGCCGAGCGGCCCAGCATCAGCCGAGCCGCCCAGTCGCAGCCGAGCTGCCCGGCAAATGCCGAACCGCCCGGTAGCCGCTGAGCAGCCCAGCAGCAGCCGAGCCGCCCAGCAGCAGCCGGGCCGCCCTGGAGCCGCCGAGCCGCCGGGCACCCTTCCTAGAGCAGCCGAGCCGCCCAGGAGCAGCCGAGCCGCCCAGGAGCTGCCGAGCCGCCCAGCGACCGCCGAGCCGCCCGACCTGCCCTGCCCGGTGAGCACCGTACCGCTGTCACTGCGTGCCCTTCCCCTACTGCTTGCACTGCTCCACTGTCGTCGTCATGGCTAGACCCAGTGTCCTCGCTTTTGACGCTGAGGGTCGAGCCATTGACTTTGAGGTCTGGCTCGACGACCTGCAGCTGTTTTTACAGTGCGATAGGGCGGACGGTCTGTCTCTCTTTGACCTCACCTCTGGCGCCGTCCCTGCCCCTGCTGCTGATGCTGACGCCACTGTTCGCTCTCAGTGGGCCACGCGCGATGCTGCTGCACGTCTTGCTGTGCGTCGCCACCTGCCTACCGCTGAGCGCGCGCACTTAAGCCAGTACAAGAGTGCCCAGACCTTGTACGACGCTGTAGTTGCGCACTACTCCTCCCCTGCCACTACTGCACTAAGCCGCCTCATGCTCCCCTTCCTCTTCCCTGACATTGCCGCCTTTCCCACTGTCGCTGATCTCATCACGCACCTCCGCACTAGTGACACTCGCTACCGCGCTGCGCTTCTTGCTGACTTCTGCGCCAAGAACCCCCCCCCCCCATGTACACACTCTCTACTTCTTAGTCACTCGCCTCCCTGACTCCCTTCGTGTAGTCCGGGACCACTTCCTCGCGGTCTGTCCCACCACCCTCACAGTCGACAGCCTCGAGAAGGCCCTCCTTGCAGCAGAGAAGAGCATAGTCGCTGTAGGAGCCTCTCGAGGTGACCCTCGCGCCCCCATCTTTGAGGGGTCTTCTCCTTCCCCTCTCCTGCCCTCTGTCGCCTCTGCCGCTGCGGCCGACCTCGTTGGTCTTGAGTCGGTCGGTGCGGCGTCTGCCCCTAGCGGGAGACGCCGCTCTGGCAAGGGCAAGGGGGGCAAGGGAGCGGGTGGGGCCAATGGGGGCGGTGGAGGTGGAGGTGGAGGCGGCGGAGGGAGTGGGGGTGGCGGTGGAGGTGGTAGCGGGGGTGGGGGTGCTAGTGGCGGCAGTGGAGGCGGGGGTGGCGGCGGCGGTGGCGGTGGTAGCGGAGGTGGCGGCGGTGGAGGCGGAGGCGGGGGTGGCGGCCCGGGGGTGGCGGCGGTGGAGGCGGAGGTGGAGGCGGGGGCGGTGGAGGCGGAGGCGGGGGTGGCGGAGGTGGAGGTGGTCGGAGTGGAGCTTCGCAGGGGAGCGGCACTGGGGGCGGTCAGCGCCAGCAGCAGCAGCAGCAGCAGCGTTCTCGCGACGTCCCCACCCCTCAGCAGCTCCGTGAGTGGTACACGCAGCGTCAGCGCGGTGGGGGTTTTGGTCCCTGCACCTATGTTCTCCGCACTGGCGACCGCGCTGGAGAGCAGTGTGGGGGTACCCACTCCGCCCAGCGCTGCTTTGGCCGCCTGACGGACGCTTGGCGCCAGCAGTTCCCGGAGGCCGCGGAGATCCCCCGCGGGGGAGAGCTGTCTAGGGCTGGTGTTGCTATCTTTGATCTTGATTTTGATGCTATCCTTGCTGCCATGTATGTTGTGACCATTAGTGATGAGGGTGACTGTTACCGGTGTTTCCCGCCCGACCCGGGCATTGGTACTGCTGCTCTAGTTGCCAGTGCGTCTGTGCTCTCAGGTGCTGGTGAGGCTGCTCTCTTAGGTACTAGTGCGTCTGCGCTCTCAGGTACTGCGTCGGCTTCGGCCTCCCACACCTTCACCCTTGACTCTGGAGCGTCTCGCTCTTTCTTTCGGGACCGCACCACACTCACGCCGCTTAGTCGACCGGTCGCGGTTTCCCTGGCTGACCCCTCTGGGGGTCCTGTCCTGTCTCGCTTCTCCACAGTCCTCCCGTGTCCGGCGGCTCCCTCTAGCACCCTGTCTGGTCTCTACCTCCCCTCGTTCTCTACGAACTTGGTGAGTGGTGCTGACCTACAGGATGCGGGAGTCCACCAGTTTACCCCTGCTCGTCAGCGGGTGACGCACTGCACAGAGGCTAGCACGGGTCGTCACCTGGCTACGTTTACACGTCAGCCAGGGTCGAGCCTGTACACACTGACCACTGCTTCTCCTCCAGTTCCTGAGTCTGGTAGGGTCCCTTCATCAGGTCAGGTGTTTGCTGCAGCGTCCAGGTCTGGCCCTGAGTCTGCCCCCTGTTCGTGTCGTCTTTTGTCTCACGAGACTCTCCTCTGGCACCACCGCCTTGGTCACCCCTCTCTGCTTCGGCTCAAAGGCATGGCCTCCTGTCTCCTTGTGTCTGGTCTTTCCCGGTCTCTCCCTCCCCTTCCTCAGGGCCCTGGCCCTACCTGTGTCCCCTGTGTCGAGGGGCGCCAGCGTGCTGCCCCTCACTCCTCCCAGTTTCCTCCGACAGAGGCTCCGTTGCAGACGCTTCACATGGACGTGTGGGGCCCTGCCCGCGTCCGTGGACTCGGTCACGAGCGCTACTTCCTGTTGGTGGTTGACGACTACTCGCGTTACACCACAGTCTTCCCCTTGCGCAGCAAGGGTGATGTCACTGAGGTGCTGATCGACTGGATCCGCGCAGCTCGTCTCCACCTCAGGCAGAGCTTTGGCTTGGACTTTCTTGTGTTGTGTCCGCACTCGGACAGAGGCGGAGAGTTCTCCTCTGGCCTTCTGCGTGCCTTCTGTCGTGCGCGAGGCATCCGCCAGACCTTCACGCTTCCGGACTCACCGCAGCAAAATGGGATTGCAGAGCGCCGCATTGGCATGGACATGGACGTCGCTCGTACGTCTATGATGCATGCGGCTGCCCCCCATTTTCTGTGGCCGTTTGCGGTCAGGTACGCGGCGCATCAGATCAACCTCCACCCCAGGGTCTCCAGGCTGGAGACCTCCCCAGCCCTGCTGTGGACGGGGAAGGTTGGCGATGCGTCGGCGTTCCGGGTCTGGGGATCTCGGGCGTTTGTCCGCGACTTGTCTGCGGACAAGCTGTCCCCTCGCGCTACTCCCTGCGTCTTCCAGGGGTTCCCCCCCGACGCCCCTGGGTGGCAGTTCTACCACCCCACCTCTCGACGTGTTCTGTCCTCCCAGGACGTCACGTTCGACGAGTCGGTACCCAACTACCGCCTCTTCCCCTACGGCACTCCGTCCCTTCCCCCGCCCCCGCTCTTCTTGGTACCAGGTCCCCCCCAAGTAGACCCCCTCCCCCCTCAGGGTCCTGCCCCTTCAGGTGTGTCCCAGGTAGACGCGGTCGAGCCTGTCGAGGTCACTGGTGACTGTGGTGCTGCTGCGGAAGCTGAGCCTGGGGGTGCTGGGACTGGAGGTGCTACGCTTGGGGGTACTGAGCCTGGGGGTGCTGAGTCTGGAGGTGCTGAGCCTGGGGGTGCTGAGCCTGGGGGTGCTGAGCCTGGGGGTACTGAGTCTGGGGGTGCCGAGCCTGGGGGTGCTGTGCCTGGGGTTACTGAGCCTGGGGGTGCTGAGACTGGGGGTGCTCCGCCTGGAGGTGCTTTGCCTGAGGGCGCTGTGCCAGGAGGTTCTCCGCCTGGAGGTGCTTCGTCTCGCCGGGAGCCACTCTCCCCACAGGAGCTACGTGAGTGGTTTGCCCGGCGCTGGAGGCGTGCTGCTGGTGCTGGAGGTTCTTCGGCTGCAGAGGGTGCTGCTGCCGCGCGTCCCGGAGGTGCTCGTGCTGTGGGTGCTGGAGCTGCTGGGCCTGAGGGTCCTCCTGGAGCTGGTGCTGCTGAGGGTGTTGGCGCTGAGGCTACGGGTGGCGGTCCGACTGACAGTGCTGCTGGGGGTTCTGGAGCTACTGGAGGTGCTGCTGGAGGTGCTGCTGGAGCGGGTACTCCTACTGGGGGTACTGGTGCTGTCCCTGCTGTCTCTGGCGTCGCCACGCGGCCCCGACCGTACTTCGTTCCGCTCCTGCAGCAGGTTCTTGGTCTTCCACCTTCTCCTGATCCTCCTCCTCCTCCCTTAGAGGGTCCACAGCCTGTCCAGTCCCAGTCACAGCTACAGCCTGCCTCCCCTTTGCCTGCTCCTTCTCCCTACGCTGGTCCGACTGGAGGTCTTACTGAGCGTCGTGAGCCTGCGTCTCGTCCTGCGTCGCCTGTTCGTCCTGCACGCACTAGTGGCCGTGGTTCTCGTCAGCGTCCTCCTCCTGTCCCTCGCACGCACCGGATGTCTCTGCGTCCGTCCACTGCTCCTCTGCGTGCCCCTTTGCCTTCTTCTCCTGCTTCCTCTCTTCCTGCTCTTGCCGACCCGGAGTCGGACTCTCTTCGTGCTGCCAGTCCTACTGTCACGCGTCTCCTTGCTACTGCTGTCACTGACCCTTCTTTCGAGTCTTCTGCTGCGTCTGCCCTTGTCACTGAGCTCGTCGACTTTGCTGCGCACTGTCGTCTAGACTACGCTGCTAGTCTTGTCGCCGAGTCTGAGTCTGCCTGTCCTCCGTCCGTCGGGGGTGAGTGTGCCCTTGGCACGGACGTCCTTGAGGACAGGCAGGAGGAGTTCCAGTGTCTGGCCGCCGCTTCACCTCATCTCGCGTCTGTACTGCTAGCCCCTGAGGGAGACCCGGATGCACTAGACATCCCGACTCCGCGCTCTTACGCGGAGGCGATAGAGGGTCCCTACTCCTCTCAGTGGCAGGCAGCTATGGATGCAGAGACGGCTTCCTGGAAGTCCACAGGCACCTACGTTGACGCTGTTCCCCCTCCTGGGGCGAACATCGTCAGTGGCATGTGGATCTTCAGGGTGAAGCGGCCGCGGGTTCTCCGTCTGTCTTCAAGGCGCGTTACGTGGCTCGTGGCTTCAGTCAGCGGCAGGGAGTTGACTATTTTCAGACCTTCTCCCCCACCCCGAAGATGACCACTCTTCGGGTACTGCTGCACGTTGCTGCTCACCGTGACTACGAGCTGCACTCTCTCGACTTCAGCACCGCTTTCTTGCAGGGCAGCCTGCACGAGGAGATCTGGCTGCGTCGCCCACCTGGCTTCACTGGGTCTTTCCTTCCTGGTACCCAGTGGAGTCTCCGGCGTCCAGTCTACGGTCTCCGCCAGGCGCCACGTGAGTGGCACGACACACTGAGGACTACGCTGGCGGCACTTGGGTTTGCTCCTTCTACTGCCGACCCGTCGCTGTTTCTGCGCACCGACACCTCTCTGCCGCCGTTCTACATCCTCGTGTACGTCGACGACTTGGTCTTTGCCACAGCTGACACTGCTGGACTCGCCTACGTGAAGTCTGAGCTGCAGAAGAGACACATGTGCACTTACCTGGGTGAACTGCGCAGCTACCTTGGCTTGCAGATCACCCGGGACAGAGCACGCCGCACCATTACCCTGACTCAGTCACACATGGTGCAGCAGGTCCTTCAGCGCTTCGGCTTCACGTACTCCTCGCCTCAGGCCACTCCTCTGCCTACTCGCCACTCGCTCTCAGCTCTGCCTTCGGATGAGTCCGTAGAGTCGAGTGGCCCGTATGCAGAGCTTGTTGGCTGCCTCATGTACCTGATGACCTGCACACGACCTGACCTTGCATACCCTCTTAGCATTCTCGCACGCTATGTTGCTCCTGGGAGACACCGACCAGAGCACATGGCTGCAGCGAAGAGGGTGTTGCGCTACTTGTGCAGTACGTCGGGCATGGGGCTAGTGCTTGGAGGGCGCAGTCCAGTGGTCCTCACTGGGCACGCGGACGCTTCTTGGGCTGACGACCAGGCTACGTAGCGGTCGTCACAGGGTTACACCTTCAGCCTTGGTTCTGGCTCTGTTTCGTGGCAGGCTACCCGCTCGTCTTCTGTTCTCGGCTCCAGTTGTGAGGCTGAGATCTACGCCGGGGCTATGGCTGCTCAGGAGCTTCGCTGGCTCACCTACCTGCTGACCGACCTTGGAGAGATGCCTAGTTCTCCTCCAGTCCTGTACGTAGACAACAAGGCCATGCTGGCCTTGTGTCGAGAGCAGCGACTGGAGCACAGGACAAAGCACATTGCTCTCCGCTACTTTCTTGCTCGTGAGCTACAGCAGCGTGGACAGTTGCAACTTGCGTACATGGCCTCTGAGGCCAACACTGCTGATGTCTTCACCAAGGCACTTGCGCCTTGTGATCATCAGCGTTGCTGCACGCAGCTGGGTCTTGTGCCTGTCTTGCCTCACTTGCTCACTTCTTGACCTTGCTTGTACCTTTACCTATATATACTCTTGCTCTTGCTTGCTTGACTCTCGTATATCTCTATATATGATCTTGCATGTGAACTGGCCTTGTGGCCCTTGAACTTGTGCTCGGAATGTGTGGTGACTTTGTGATCCACCCTGAGCTTTGCTTTGCTTTGCTTGACTAGTCTTGTGACCCCTTGTTCTCCCCCACTTTGCCTATGGGGGTGTGTCAGAACATAATAGCTTACTTATTTGTGTAGGCTATAGTGGGGTATCTCATAGGGGGTACAACCCAATTAGGGTTTCCTATTTGTACTCACTGCGTTCATAGTCATTTCATTCTCGTTCTTTATTTTCACAATGAGGTGCTTGGCTGCCCAACGTACATGCAAGCCAAGTTCACCCGTTTCAAGTTCTCTAGTTCGGAGGCGACGGCTAAGGCACTTCTTGATGAGGTGGTGATGGACGTGGTGGGCCCCCTGAAGCTTGGAGCTGCTGGAGCTTAGTATTTCCTCACTATTGTGGACGTCTACACCCGCATGACTTGGGTGTACGTGCTGGCCAAGAAGAGTGACGTGGCTGAAACGTTGAAGATGGATTGGTTCCCGATGGTGGAGCGGCAACAAGACCGTCTAGTGAAGTCGATCCGCACAGATCAAGGGGGAGAGTTCCTAAGCAAGGAGTTTGGGTTGTGGCTGAAGAAGAATGGTATTCGGCACTCCCTCACCATGCCATACTCCCCTGCAATAAACGGCATCGCCGAGCGAGCGAACCGCACGATCACGGAGGCGGCACGCGGGTTCCTCATTGAAGCCGGGCTACCCGACTATTTCTGGCCTGATGCGGTGCGGAGTGCATGTGTGGCCAAGAAGAGAGTTTTGACTCATGTGGGTGTGAAATAACGAGGAATGATTGACTAGGAAATGAGTTGGGTACAAATATGTAACCCTAAGAAACTGTACCCCATACTGTCTACACCACTACAGCCTAGAAAAACTATAGCACAAATGTTTGACACACCCCCATAGGCAAAGTGGGGAAGAACAAGTGGTCACAAGACCAGTCAAGCAAAGCACAACAAGCTCAAGGTGGATCACAATGTCACCACACATTCCAAGCACAAGTTCAAGGCCACAAGGCCAGTTCACATGTAAGATTATATATAAAGGTAAACAAGCAAGTGCAGGTATAGATAGATCACAGTACAAGCAAGGTCAAGAAGTGAGCAAGTGAGGCCAAGTAGGCACAAGACCTAGCATCGTACAAAAGCGCTGATGATCACAAGGCTGAAGTGCCTTGGTAAAGATATCAGCAGTGTTGGCCCGAGAGGCCACGTAAGCAAGTCACGCTGCTGTGGCTCACGAGCAAGGAAGTAGCGAGGAGCAATGTGCTTCTTTCTGTGCTCTAGTCTGTGCTCCCGACACAAGGCCAGCATGGCCTTGTTGTCTACGTACAGAACTGGAGGAGAACGAGGCGGCTCTCCTAGGTCAGTTAGCAGGTAGGTGAGCCAGCGTAACTCCTGTGCAGCCATGGCCCCTGCGTAGATCTCAGCCTCACACATGGAGCCAAGAACAGAAGACGAGCGGGTAGACTGCAACAAAACAGAACCGAAACCAAGACTGAAGGTGTAACCCTGTGACGACCGCTGCGTAGCCTGGTCGTCAGCCCAAGAAGCGTCTGCGTGACCAGTGAGGACCACTGGACTCCGCCCCCCAAGCACGAGCCCCATGCCCGACGTACTGCACAAGTAGCGCAACACCCTCTTTGCTGCAGCCATGTGCTCTGGTCGGTGTCTCCCAGCAACAACATAGCGTGCCAAGATGCTAGGAGGGTATGCCAGGTCAGGTCGAGTGCAGGTCATCAGGTACATGAGGCAGCCAACAAGCTCTGGGTACGGGCCACTCGGCTGTACGAACTCATCCGAAGGCAGAGCTGAGAGTGAGTGGCGAGTAGACAGAGGAGTGGCCTGAGGCGAGGAGTACGTGAAGTCAAAGCGCTGAAAAACCTGCTGCACCATGTGTGACTGAGTCAGAGTAATGGTGCGGCGTGCTCTGTCCCGGGTGATCTGCAAGCCAAGGTAGCTACGCAGTTCACCCAGGTCTGTGCACGTGTGTCTCTTCTGCAGCTTGGACTTCACGTGGGTGAGTCCAGCAGTGTCAGCAGTGGCAAAGACCAAGTCGACGACGTACACGAGGATGTAGAATGGCGGCAAAGAGGCGTCGGTGCGTAGAAACAGCGACGGGTCGGCAGTAGAAGGAGCAAACCCAAGAGCCGCAAGTGTAGTCCTCAATGTGTCTTTCCACTCACGGGGCGCATGGCGGAGACCGTAGACTGGCCGCCGGAGGCTCCATTGGGTACCACGAGGAAACGACCCAGTGAAGCCAGGTGGGTAGCGCAGCCAGATCTCCTCGTGCAGGCTGCCCTGTAGGAAAGCAGTGCTGAAGTTAAGAGAGTGAAGTTCGTAGTCGCGCTGAGCGGCTATATGCAGCAGCACCCGAAGAGTGGTCATCTTCGGGGTGGGAGAGAAGGTCTGAAAGTAGTCAACTCCCTGCCGCTGACTGAAGCCTCGAGCCACGTAACGTGCCTTGAAGACAGGCGGAGAACCCGGCGGCCGCTTCACCCTGAAAATCCACCTGCCACTGACTATGTTCACCCCAGGTGGGGGTACCTCGTCGACGTAGGTACCTGTGGACTTCCAGGAAGCCATCCCTGCGTCCCTGGCTGACTGTCACTGAGAGGAGTAGGGACTCTCTATCGCCTCTGCGTAAGAGCGCAGAGTCGGGATGTCTGGTGCATCCGGGTCTGCCTCAGGGGCAATCAGCATGGACACGAGATGAGGCAAAGCAGCAGCAAAACACTGGAACTCCTCCTGCGTGTCCTCAAGGACGTCCGCACTAAGAGCACACTCACTCCCGACAAACGGAGGACAGAAAGACGCAGACTCGGCAACAAGACTAGCGGCGTAGTCTAGACGACAGCGAGCAACAAAGTCGACAAGCTCAGCAACTATGTCTAGACGACGGCGTAGTCTAGACGACTGCGTCTACATGGGACACAGTTGAGGGGGCAGGACCCTGAGGGGGAAGGGGGTCTACCGGGGGAGGACCTGGCACGAGGAAGTGCGGCGGCGGGGGGAGGGGGGCAGTGCGGTAGGGGAAGAGACGGTAGTAGGGAACCGACTCGTCAAATGTGACGTCCTGGGAGGACAGAACACGACGCGATGTGGGGTTGTAAAACTGCCAGCCAGGTGCGTCAAGAGGGAAGCCAAGGAAGACGCAGGGAACAGCGAGGGGGGATAGCTTGTCCGCAGACAAGTCGCGGACAAAAGCCCGAGATCCCCAGACACGGAACGCAGACGCATCGCCAACCTTCCCCGTCCACCGCAGAGTAGGGGAGGTCTCCGGCAAGGAGACCCGGGGCTGAAGGTTGATCTGATGCGCCGCGTACTGAACCGCGAACGGCCATAGTAAATGGGGAGCAGCCGCATGGATCATGGACGTACAAGCGACGTCCATGACCATGCCAATGCGGCGCTCACCAATCTCATTTGGCTGTGGAGAGGCCGGAAGCATGAACGTCTGGCGGATGCCCTGCGCACGACAGAAGGCCTGCAGAAGGTGAGAGGAAAACTCTCCGCCTCTGTCGGAGTGTAGACGCAGAATAGGAAAGTCAGAGCCGAAACTCTCTCTGAGCTGGAGACGAGCTGCGCAGATCCCGTCGATCAACACCTAAGTAACCTCACCCTGGCTGCACAAGGGGAAGACTGTGGTGTAACGTGAGTAGTCGTCAACCACCAGCATGAAGTAACACTCGTGACCCTGTCCACGGACGCGGGCGGGGCCCCACACGTCTAGGTGAAGCGTCTGCAGCGGAGCCTCTGTCCGAGGAAACTCGGAGGAGTGAGGAGCGGTGCGCTGCCGCCCCTCGACGCAGGGAACGCAGGTAGGGGCAGGCCCTGGAGGAAGAGGAGGGAGGGACCGGGGGAGACCAGAGACAAGGAAACGAGAGGCCATGCCTCGAGGACGAGGCAGGGAGGGGTGACCAAGGCGGTGGTGCCAGAGTAGAGTCTGGTGAGACAGGTGACGACACGAGCAGGGGGCAGACTTAGGACCAGACCTGGACGCTGCAGCAAACACCTGACCCGACGCAGCTACCTGACCAGACTCAGCAGCCGTAGGAGACTCAGTAGTCAGTGTGTACAGGCTCGACCCCGGCTGACGGGTAAACGTGGCCAAGTGTCGGCCCATTCGAGCATACGTACAGTGGGTCACCCGCTACCTCGCAGGAGTGAACTTGTCAACCCCCCCATCCTGTAGGGCAGCACCACTCACCAGGTTCGTAGAGAACGAGGGGAGGTAAAGACCCGACAGGGTGCCAGAAGGGGCCGCCGGACACGGTAAGACAGTGGAGAAGAAGGACAGGACCCCCAGAGGGGTCTGTCAGCGAGACTACAACCGGCCGACAAAGCAGCGTGAGTGTGGTGCGGTCTCGAAAGAAGGAGCGGGAAGCACCCGAGTCAGTGGTGAAAGTGTGCAAAGCCCGAGCCGATGTGGTACCTGAGAGAGCAGACTCAC